GTAGGGTGGCCGCCACCCTTCGCGCGAGCAACTGGTTGCGAAGCAACTGGTACCCTTGCTGTGTGCCTACCGCCTTCATTATGTGACCCGTAATGCGATTTGCCTTTCCGTCTGTGTCACTTTCAATCGCTTTATTTATTCCGTTGCGTTCGCAGGTGACAAGCTCGCAGACAGGGAACGATATCCTTCGTTGAAGAGACTTGAAGAAAGGATCAGAGAATGTGTAAGGTGGGAATGTCGAACATCATCGGCGTGACGATGTTTTAGTAAGGATTTTCAGATCCTGCTGTGCCTTTGACGTTTGTTCTCTGAGGCTGTTTTAAAAATTGGATTAATTAATTAATTAAAGGAGTAGAAAGAGGAGTTTTGCCTTTGTGAATGACAAAGTAAAAATTTAATCCTCACACTCTTCGAGGGGCAAGATCATATCTCTGGTTTTATATTATTTTACAGTGTATGAAATTTGTACGTTCTCAAATAAATTAAATTTTTCTTTTCTTTTTTATTTGTAGATAAAATTCGAGAACTTGCTGTGAACGAGGTTCGTTTTTATTATGCTTCGTGACAGAATAACGTTAGACCGAACAGATACAACGATTCGAAGGGTTGAAATAAAAGCGAAGTTCATATTCATGCATTTCAGAAAAAACACACGGAATAGAATTATCTCCCCTCTCGAATAAAATAAATATCGATGCTCGAAGAAATTAAATACTGCAAATAAATGAAACTTTTTAATTGGATTACTCACGGAGAAAATGAATTTCAAGAGTAATATTATTACACCCGGATAATCCGCTAGTTATGAACCGCACGCGTATTGTATTAAAAAATCCCATCCCTCGAGAATCTGATTTCCCTCTATTCAAAAATTCAATTTATCATCCGCGTTACGTCCGTGTACGTTAATATTAACGCGTGTTCAAGGTGCTTATGCGTGTTTATGTATTCCCCTTTTTCAATGGATAATAAAACTATGTACAACTTTGTTTTAATTGTGTACTACGCTCGTAATTATACGCCACACATATTAACCCAGACGAGATTTCACGCGTCTGTTTAGTTTTAATTAACGGGCAAGTTTACGGGTGGTATCGCGGAACCGCGAATATTTTCCTCCGATAATGTGTATATATCATTCATTCTGGCCGGTTTATTTACGTGTGGTTATCAGCCTTTTTTAATAAGCTGGCTGCTTGTTAAAGGACATTAATCTTTCTTTGCACAATAGGCATTAGCGGCAAGGATTACAGTTAGGACAATATTTTACACTTCCTCGTGTGATTTCCCCGCGTATATCCATCCATCCGAGAATGAAAAATTATTTTTACGTTGCTCCGTCCTCCCGTAATATATGAAGGGTAATGTGTGAAATCACGGTTAGGCGGAATTTTCGTCGTACATCAATTATCGTCATACGTTAATTACACAACGGGGAAAAAAATTTTTTCACACCGCTTTTCAACAGCTCTTGACATTGTGTGGTAAGTTTAAATTAATTTAATTTTTCTCTTGAACTTTCAACTTCGAAATTATGTATGTATGTATGTGTAGAGTATTTTACTCTCTACACTACTATATTTTAAATTTCTTAATTTGATATTAAGAAGTTCGTCAATTGTCATCAGCTTTACATGTGGATGTTTGAAACTTTTTTTCTTCAAATATGCATGTTTGGAAACTTATGGTTTTACATTGATATCTTGGAAAAGTAATACTAAGTTTCTCTAGAACTCTCCTCTTTCTCGAGGTGTAATTCTTTTGAGTAATAGAATGAAAAGCGTTGGCTATTTGACTTTGTAATTCCAGTTGAACGGATTTAGAATTAATTCGGTCGTTTAATTCTGAGAAGCGATTCGTCCATTGGAATTGAATCCTTTGATTCATTCGCAGTTTACATCGTTTACGCTCTGTAATTATATTCGAAGCAATCTTTTCGTTATCGTTCAGCACAGCTTATAATACTTGAATTGCACGTTTTCAAATGTAAAAGATTTGAACTAAAAATAGTATGAATTTTTAAACTTAATATTCTTAGTACAAGCTTTCAGAATTAATTTTCCTCCATTTCAGAATTCAGTTTTAATTAATTTTAAATGAAAATACAGCGAGACATGTACATTATCGTTCAAAATTTCACGTAAAATTTATGCGTGTATCAAAGTTTTATTTTTATTTTCACGATATTAAAAAAAAAAAAAAAAAATTGTATCATGCGTGATCATTAAGAAAATTCTGCAATAAATGTGATTATAAAATTAACATAATTAATGTGTAATTTCATTATATTATAATTGAAGTAATTTCATTATATTATAATTGAAGTTGAACAATTATTGATCTCAATAAATTCCAGCAGGCTCTAATTAAACCATGATCGTATTAATTTGAAAGAAAAGAAATATCCTGTGATCGAGTTTTTAGTCAGCTTCGTTAGTGATTAATAAACAATTACAATTATTTACACGAACGACTAAAAGAGAAACGAAGAAAATTATTTTCTTAATCAAGCATCGAAAACGTTTTTATTTTAAATATTTCGTATTTCATGTATAACAAATTTTCGTGTATAAATTTTTATAATCTACAACACTTTGCAGATTCTTCGTTGTATAAATTTTTTCTACTTTTAAAAGCAAATATACGTAGAAATCAAATTTTTCGAATCTAACACACACTTTACACTTGCTTGACAATTTTGAAAATCGTCAACAGTGCAAAATTGTAAGACGTACGAGCATGTAATTTCACTTCGCAAGAATTGAAATTGATTCAATTTATTATCCTATTTTTCCCAAATGAAAAGTTTCGAGGCACTTCGATTCAACAGAAAGTTTCAGAGGAGCTTTTCTCAATATTTCTCACTTATCAATGAATATTGTTATCCTCGCCCACTCGGAAGTCCATTCATACACTCGAATTTCTATGCTTCGAGAGGGACGCGATGAAAATGAATAGAGCGAATCTCTCTCGTTTCTTCGAATTCACGGAATACGAGAAACACACGCAACGAAGAAACCGCATTTGCGTTCGAGTTCGAATACGTGCGTGGGCCGTGGTGAATAGCAAAAAGAATATATAAAAGTTAAAAAATATGAATTATGATCTCTACAGGCAAAATTAATAACCTTGTAAAAAAAAAAAAAAAAAACATTTACAGACCGTACAAAATTATAATTATATGTCTGTCACAGTTCCCTGAAATTAATTCTATTTTTCATTTCCTTCGAATTCACTGAACGAGAAATTCGTCCAGAATTAGATAATAAATGAAATCTCGTGTCGATGGAATTTAACATTATAAATATTACAAAAGAAAACTTATAAGAAAGATTTGCTTTTAGAAATGTACAAACAAATAAATATTCCAAATATTATAATTGGCATCAACAATATATATATAAATGAGTTTTACATCATATCATGTCCTTCATACTCCAAAGATATTCATTTACATCGATATCAAAACGTTACGAATTTAAAAAAAAAAAAAAAAAAAAAAAAAAAAAAAAAGCA